TCCTCTGCATAAGAGGACAAGGGAGCCCCCGCCCCGCCAGCAGGCCTGAGGACATGCGGAGATACACAGGCTCCAATCTCGTCACACAAGGTGGTCAGCCTTTCCCAGTTGTAAGTGAACATGAGTTCCATGGTGTGTTTCACACAAGACTCCATCTAAGTAAGAAGGTGACAGCCGGGTGTGGTGGCTCACACCTGTAATCCTAGTACTTTGGGAGGCCGAGGAGGGTGGCTCACTGAGGTCAGGAGTTCGAGACCAGCCTGACAAACACGATGAAACCCCATCTCTACTATACTTTTACTGATAAAGCAGGCAATGAACATACTGTGTAGAAATCCTGAGCTCTTAATTAAAAGGAACACAGAGTTACATCTAAATCATTTGCTACAATGATCTAAAACCATTTTATTTACATCTTAGTATTAATCAGAGAGCAAAAACTCCTATGTTACCTTTATTTTCAGAACTGGAGCCAGGGTTGCTATGTGGCGCAGGCAACATTTTCATAACTCCATGATACTATCTGTTTGCCCCCAAGCAAACAGGAGGGAGATCCAGGGCCCCCTTCCAAGAGCAATAGCCTAGGGGAGAGAAGGAAAATCAAAGACACTGAGATGATTCCTTTTAGCAAGAAGTGTACCTGCCACCCCAAAGAGCAGAAACCACAATCTTAAAACTAAGATGTATAACATATACATATTTTTGAGATGGAGTCTTGCTCTGTCGCCCATGCTGGAGTGCAGTGGCACGATCTCGGCTCACTGTAACCTCTACCTCCTAGGTTCAAGCTATTCTCTTGCCTCAGCCTCCTGAGTAGCTGGGACTACAGGCATGTGCCACCATGTCCGGCTATTTTTTTTGTTTTTTAAAGGTCACAGCACAAAATTTATTGAGATTATTTACTAAATAATTCATACACATCCAACATCACTGAATGGAAATAACTTAATTTTTAAAAATAAGCAAGGCTTAAATTGGGGTCTTTCAAAAAACTCAAAAAATTATTGGTGACTGTATCTTTAACAAATGGAATGACAAAACTAGTTAAGTCTGATTATCTCAATCAACTCCAAAACTCAATGTTGCCAACATGTTTTTCCACTTAAAAGCAAACAAAAAGCAAAGCCTCATAATTTAGTAATTACCGTGTTTCTTGGTTTCTGTTCTCAAATGCCACAGAAAGATATCTGAGGAAAGGAAGCAAAGCACCTAGTCTCAACAGTCCTTCAAAACTTTAAGGTTGCTTTCACAATCTCACTATAAATACTTAGATTCCTATCTGACAGATTTCTTGACTTATGTGAGTAGGAATGCTCTCGAAACCTTAGTCTTTACTCTTGCTTCACACTAGAGTTGTTTGATTAAACCACCTCTGTATTTGCTGGACTGCAACACTAGATAAGAACTCATTCCTATCTCTTCCAAGAAACCAAGATCATCTCAATACGAATTTTGGTGGCCAGTATGTTACAGTACTTAGCAATACTTTGTTTTCTAGTGGCAAGTATGTTGAAAAATTTATCATTAATAAGTGAATTTCATAACACATAGAAATGATTCTATTAAAATATAAAAAATCCATTAACTTGTCCTCACTATTTCCAGTGACTTTAACTATCAAATCTAATTATACAAAGACAAAATTATTTGCCCTATTTGACCCTGTGTACCAAATGATGTAAGTGCTGAAAATAAGAAACATTTTAAGATTTTAAATCTCATATTAAGAATCTTGGATACCACTTAGCATTGGTGACAGAGGAAAAAAAAAAGTAAGGTGAAAACAAATTTCTCAGAGATTTTTAAAGGAAGAATTGATGTAAAAGAATATTCCTTTGGACTCTAAAGCCTTTTAAAAATCATTTATCTTTTGGTGCTTCAATATGATGCCAAACAAGAATCTACTGAATAAAAATAGCAAGGAAGGGAATCAAACATTTATAAGATATATTTATTAATTTTCTGACCAAAGTGCAATGATTTTATATCTTTTTAAACAAATAACTATGAAAAAAGTATTCAAGAAAATAAAACACAAATGGGAAATTCAACTAGATTGCTTCTTCTAATTAATCCTAACCTTTTATTAAGTCTAGAAAACAAAGAAAAAAGACTTTTGAAGTGTTACTAAAATGCTAACTGAATCATTTTAGCATAAATCTAGCCACATGCATTTCAAGGTTCCACTGCTGGAATTTTGTTAAGATCAGCTGAATCATGAATAATACTATATAACAGAGTATAACGAACATGAGCATTAGATGTGATCCTTGCCTCATACCCTTAGATTATGTCAGAATAAAGCTGACAATTCTGTCAGGCTCTGAACCCCTAGTGCCCCCAACCCAAATCTCAGAAGCAAAGAATATGCCCTGTCATACAACTTTGTACAAGTTGTAGTAAAACAAAGCTTAAGTTTTTTCACCTTTCTATAGTAAATGGTCAGTTATTTGATAAATA